CCACCACCACCACCACCACCACCACCACCACCGCCGCCGCCGCCAACGTCTAGCGGAGCTCCACCACCACCACCGCCACCACCGTCTAGCGGAGTTCCACCACCACCTCCTCCCCCAGGCTCAGCTCCACCACCCCCTCCCCCTCCAGGTTCGGGCCCACCACCGCCTCCTGCTCCTGGTAAAGGTGGATTAACTCCACGTTTCGGTGCATCAGGTATGTTCATTAATATTTTTAGAGATATGTTGGTTTCTGTTAATTTAACCGATTCATTATTTTTTTTTATAATTTCCAAGCTCAACCACGTAAGGAGCTTCCGTTCGCAGCGAAGAAGAAACTTTTACAGCTTCAATGGGATAAGCTCAACACGCTGTCCATTAACAAGACGTTTTGGGGCCAAGCAAATATGAGTGAAGAAGAGCTTCTTAGATTACTTGGTGGAGAGTTTGGCGTTTTTTCTAGCATTGAGGAACTTTTTGCCGCCAAGGAACTTGCGTTAAAAAGTGAATAATTTCACTATAATTTCAGCTCATAATTCTACTAAATATAATATTGACCATAAACATAATTTACTTTACATACAGAAAAGAAGGCGGAAAAGAAGGAAGAAATTAGTGTCCTTGATCCGAAAAGAGCGTATAATATTAGTAAGATGTTAACTAACATTTTAAGAGATACATATATTTTTATTTTATCTCACGTGATTTTTCTCTACCAAAGATGTTGTACTTGGGCGATATAAGCAGGTTTCATTTGAGGAAATGCACAAAAAGATTATCGAGATAGATGAAATCTTTTGCACAGAGAATCTACTTAATCAATTAATGCAATATACCCCAACAGCCGACGAAGTAAGTTTAGTTCTCTATTGCATTGTGTTCAAAATAAATGTATCCTAACCTTTCGATCATATTAATATTAGCGCGGAAAGTTGGCCGTGTTTCAAGAAGGAACGGAAGAATTTGAAAACCTAGCCCGCCCTGATCGATTTTTTATTGAAGTAGATTATTCTTACCTATTTTCGAGTTTTAAAGTTGGATTCATATTTAATTTGATGTTCTTACACAGGTGATGAAAATACACAGATACGAGCAACGCTTGAAGTTTATGTACTTCCATATTACATTTAATGAGAAATTTACAGATCTAAACAATGTATGAGTTGATTTCATATCTTTCTCTAATTTTTATAATTAAGCAGTCTTAATATATTATAAATTTTTTAGAACGTCCTGTCAATATTAAATGCCTCTATAGCCCTTAAGGAATCACAGCATTTCAAGGAGTTAATGAATGTAAGTGACATTATTTTTTTTTGTTTTTTAAAAAATTTATTTAGACGTAATTCAAAATTTATACTACTTTTTTCTTTAGCTAATATTGTTACTCGGCAATTACATGAATGGTTCAGGTCATAAAGGTGGTGCATTCGGTTTTAAAGTCGGAAGTATCAACAAGGTAATGAATTTACTTATCTAAGTAACTTTTATTTTGAAATTTGTTTGCAAACTGAAAACTTTAACCAACTTAAATTTAGCTTGTCGATACCAAAGCTTCAAATAATTCGACTATTACATTGTTGCATTTTTTGGCTGATACTGTTGATGATAAAGTACCGCATTTGCTTAGTTTTATCGATGAGTTAAAAGATTGTGGAACTGCATGCAGAGGTATTTTTAATAGGATTATTTACTTATTTTTATAGGTAACACAAATTATTTGCTAAGATTTTTTATTATTTTATAGTATCTCAACAAGATATGACGAATGAATATCGGATGATGGGAACGAAATTGAATGACCTTGCCGTCGAATTACAGATGCATTACACAGACGTTGAATTAGAAGAAAATGACAGATTTGCTGAAGTAATGAGAGACTTTGTTGTAAAATCACAAGAGAAGTTCGAACAACTTCGTATTAAATATACGTCAATGGAAGTTGCATACAAGGATGTTTTATCCTATTTCGGTGAAGATCCTAATAATACAAAACCAGATGAATTCTTTGGAATATTTAAAATCTTTATCACTTCATTTGAGGTTTGTCGTTTGATTTTTGAAGATTTTGGTATTTCGCAGCCCTATCTCATAAAATTATTTCTGATAGCGTGCAAGGTCTGATAATAAGAAAGTCAAAGAACGTGAATTAGCAGCTCAGAGACGAAGAGATGTAAATAAAATGATTTTAATATTCACCCTTACACAGAATATAATCCCTGTTCCATTTATTTATTTATTCATTTTTAAATAGGAAATTGAGAGTCGAAGGAAGCCTGCTGCAAATGCAGGTGTACAAGTTGGCGAAGGTGTTACCATGGATTCATCAGAAGAGAAACACTTGATGGACAATCTGCTGGAAACCTTAAGAGATGGTAGAGATTTGGATACAAGACGAAACAGACGAGGCAATAGGCGTGTTATGAGAAGCATGTCAATTGCTTTGAAAGCAGAATCAATTTTGAATACGCTCAAGGAAGACGCTCCACCACTTCCTGAAATGCCAAAGCAGATAGCCGCTGAATAACAAAATACAATTATGAAGTTTTAAATTTTTTATTGTCCAGGTTTCAGACATTAGTCATACTTAATTTCTATTTCTATATTTAGTATATGTGGCTGGTATTTCTAAGTTTTGTTTATTTTGTACAAAAGAATTTCAGTTTTAAATATTTAGTTTTATATATATATATTTTTTTTATTTTCATTCACCGTTCGATAGAATCTAAGTAGAAAAAATTATTCAATTTTTTCATGACATTAACATACTCGGGCATTTCATAACGTATTATTTGAATGCATCAATTACTATAAAATAAATTTATCATATTAATTTATTAAAATATTCATTGAAATGTATTGATTTTTTCAATAATGCTGTATATTAAAGTGAAATAAAAATTATTAAGTTATTTTAAATTATTATTGTTTTAAAAAATTAAAATCTTAACTATATATACTTTATATTTATTTTTTTCAATTTATAGTTTTAAGTACAACTTTAAAAATGATATTATTTTATTTATAGTTTAGATAAATGTTTTTTCAACTATTATTATTAATACAGTACTAGTCAAAAAATTTTATTCGACTTTTTGCTATTTAGTAAAAAATAACAATTAATTAAATTAATGACATAAATAAATTGATAATTACATAATTTGACAACAAATATTACAAAAAAAAATTCTTTCCCACTTCTTCCTACTTTATGAAAATTTTCTTTTTAGAAAGTTTTCTTTTTTTCTTCTCCCTTTTCTTTACTTTATGTGAGGCTACCAACTATGTAGCAAACAAAGTTTGAGATATGCTGATACTATACAAGGCTCTGTTATCTGACTTGTTAATGCATAGAAAGAATTATATCTAGGAAAGTGTGAACAGATCTGCACTTTGCACATGACAAATGTTTAAGATAAAGGAAACTGTCTTTTGGAACTGAAACACTTCTGAAGCAAGGCTTTGTGTATGCCTGAGTTATTATAGACAAAATATTTTTATCTTTTTAGTTTTTTTCAACTTCTTAAACTTCTTCCATCTGTTCTTTCTTTTCCCATTATTCTACCTCTTTATTTTATACCATTTCTATCAATGGATAGCTTTTCCTTTTTTCAAGGTTTTCCTTCTAGGCCTCCCACTCTTTTCTTTATTGAATTATTCCATTAATCCTATGGTATATCGAGCCTTTGCTTTGGTCAAGTCAGTGGACTTAATACATGAAAAAGATTAAAACAAAATTTCATATAATTGAGAGTTAAATTTGTATAAGGAAGGTCACGTTTTCAAAGTTCTAGATACATCTTTCTATAACTACTAGTTATTTACAAAGCTACCTGAATAAAGAAGAGGTATAATGATAGAAACTTTAATCAGTAATATCAAAAGTAGGGTTCTACTTGTTGAGGACCTAAACTGTCAATTATATTGATCAGAGAATAAATGGCTAGCCAAAAACTTTTGTTCTGAATACTTGATAATATCACTATTATCCAACTCAAGAGAAATACTAACAGAATCTCCTTTTGTTTTAACCATCTTTCAAAATTTCACCAAAAACTGTGGTCAATTTATTCCTTTAAAAGATTAATACAGATTAATCATGCCTTATTAGATTCAAGACCTCTAGTAAAAAAGGATCCATGGCCTATGTCTCAACTCAAATTGATTTCCAGGTCTAGTATAACAAAAACCTGAATTTCTAATTATATTACTACTTATATTACCATTTCATCTTAGTGAGCACCCTTACTAGTTAATAATAAACTAATAACTAGATATTATTTATTATTTTTCTCTTTCTTTATATGAGTTTTCAAAGTTTGTAAGGATCTATATATATAATAGACATTAGTTAATTTACTTGATAGTTAATCCTATAAAGACTATTTATATAATTGTTTATAAATTAACTTTCTAATAAAAACTAGCATATATTGCTTATTGCATTAAAAAAAAAAGACAACAAATATTACAAAAATTGATATATTTATAATTTATTAATAATTCATCAAAAAATTTATTAATAATTTATTAAATAATTTATTAATTATTTAACTAATTTATTAAAAATTCATTGATAATTTATTAATAGTTTGTTCAAAATTTGTTAATAATTTTTAATTATTTATCAAAATTCATTAATCATTTATTAATAATTTATTAATTATTTATTAACCATTTATTAATAATTTATCAATCATTCATTAATAAAGTATACAAAAAAAAAAATCTTTTCATTGATTCTCCTTTTTTAAAAAAATTGTTTTTTTAATAATTTTTGATAAAAAATAATATAACTCAAACTCAATAATATATTAAAGAAAAAAACTTTTAAAAGAAAGAAAAACAAAACATAAAATCTGAATTAAAGTAAAGTCAAAAGATTTAATATTTATTTTTCTGGCTTCTAATTAGGTCAGTACAAATTTATATTTTTTTAAATATTAGAAAAAACCTCATAACAAAATAATTTCAGCTAATAAACTAATCAAACTCAAAAAGTTATAAGACTCAAGATAATATTAAGAACCCAAGAGTAACAGCTAGAAAACAAAGGCAAAACATAATTATAAAATATAAATAATTTATATAATATAAATATAAACATGTTTTAATGGAAAACTCAACTTATATGATAATTTATATAACATGTCTCTCAATATAAACAAATTCCTTATATATTTTAAATCTATTAATAGACAATAATTCTAAATAACAAGTTTACTTCACAAAATATCTATGGATATCAACTAAAATACAGTAAGTAAAAAAAAATAAATAATCAATAAATAACTCGTTAATATATGTTTACTTCTTATTTATCTTAAATACAACAACAATAGATAAATCAGTAACTTGAAAAACAAATAACTAATTAAATAAAAAAATAACACTAGTTAAATTTATATCATTTGGCTATCAAATTATTGTTAAATTTGGCAAAAATTAATAATAAAAAGATTAATAAATTATTTATAATTGCTGTCACTCAATATAAAATATATCAATACAAAATTGATAAAAAATTTTTGACATATTGTGAAAAAAATTTTAATACAAAATCCAATAATATTGTAATAAAAAAAAAGTTATATATACTATAATAAAAATTTTTTTTGCATATTGCAGTAAAAAATTTGACAAAAAAATTGATACTATGACAAAAAATTTGACAAAAAAATTATTGCATCAAAAATTAATACTGTAGCAAAAAATTCAGAAAAAAAATTACTATAGTAAAAAATTCAATAAAAGTTATAACTCCAGTATTGAAATTCAATAAATAATCAAAAAATTTAACAAATTTAACAAAATTTATTAAAAAATTACAAAATCAATTGACTAAATTATTTATCATTTTTCTTTTCCTTCTTTTCCACTTGTTTTTCTTTTTTCTTTAAAGATTTTAGCTTGACTCTTTTAAAACTAGCTTTAATTAATTTTACCTTATTAAATGTTTTATAATATTTTACTTTTTTCTTTTAATCTAATTGTTCTTCAAATTTTGCTTATTCATGCACTTTCCCTAGTTTGTTTTTCACTCTCTGAATACATTAATGATTTCTCATATTTGATCATTTTTTGTCTTTTGGATTTAACTATCGATTCTTTATTCTTTTCTATCTTTTTTTCTTGTTTATATTTCAAAATCTCTTTCAAACTATATGTCCAATTCAGCAAACCTTCTGGTGATATTATATCATAAAAATATGAATCATCATGATATTATTTACAAGTTGACTGGAATACTTAAATTGATTTCAAATATTTATTCAAATATTTCAACAAATCCTTTAATTATAAGTAATTATAATTAATATTTTAATTATTTGATATAAAATATCACAACTCTTTCCAATGATTCTCTGATCACACATAAAAAAGACTTTCGCAAGAAGTTTTTATACTTCAGCATTAATATAGTCTTACTACTTTCTTTAAACCAACTTGAAAAAAACTTCAAGAGTCATCCCTATATCCTGTTCCTCTTGTTTTTACTTTTCTTCAAGCAAAAACTTGACTGCAAGTAACTAAAAAGTCAAGTAACATCCTTCTTATCAATGGCAAGAAAGTTTTGAAAGGAAGAAGAACTAATATATAGTCATCTTACACTGTAGAAAAACAATACAAAGTGTTGTTTGTAATAAGAGACTTCTTTTCCACTCTCTTTGTCATCTGTTACACTCTAATAGTACTTGTTTCTGGATTTTTCTGAGGAATTTTACCTACCTCAGTTTGACCCTGAATTTTGAGTAGCATAAAGTTTCTCACACTGTAATTGAACAGAAATTTTACATTAGTAAAAGATATAAATAAGCTTCTATTGGTCACCTCATGTATCTGAATGCATTTTCTCAGTACCCATAAGAACCTGGGGTCCACCATAAGTTATTGGGTCTGGTGCAGGTGGATACAGGATATGAAATCTCTTATATCATGGATAACACAGAAAGAAAAGAAGCTGATTCAGGACATATTGGACAGACAATATCCTCTCCTCTCCTCCCTTCCTCCTCTAGCAACACACCATAAGAAACATAAGGGTCAATATTTTTTTGTAGGATTTTCAATATATCCAATCTCTCATTGGAACCATTCTCTTTACAAAGAAATAACATCAAGTCCATTTGGACAAGATCTGAACACATATATATAAAAAATTTTTTCTAAGCACTAGTGGGGTTAAGGCTCCACATGAGAAATCCCCAACATTAGTGGTGCTGGGTATCTTAGGTGAATTCTGGACACATTAGCCCCCTTTTATAGGATAGCAATAAGCTGCTTGATGGAACTAGGTCCTGGGGAGTGTCATGATAAAGTAGAGAATTTAATATAGTATAAATTGCTATATCTTTCCATTATTTTCAAAGTTTTGTTTTTATAAGTAGAAAATCTATACTAGACGGTCATGTAATTATCTTATTCTAATTGGGTGAGATGTAAATAGTTAGCTCTTTGTACTATTCATTAATCTGTAAATCCTTAGACAGTATAGGTAATTATTCATCCCGGTTGTCTCTAGACTTT